TTTAAAAACCACAGTTTGAAAACCACTGTTCTTTACCAACCAGTTAGACCTCAATATGGACATAGGCTTGCCAGAGTACTCACGAGTTGATTCAGGTTTCCTGGATGGTTTTTTAATAGAATTTTTTGTAATGTTACTTTAGAAAAATCAGACTGTTAGAAGACATTTGACTCTGAAGATTACTTGCTTGAATATTACATTCTGTTATTGACTAACTTTACATACAATAGTCATTCTAGGCTAGAGGGAGCATAGAGGAAATTAGGGTGGTAAAGCCCACAGGTCATTTTGATATTCTACCTACTTCATCTGCCCATCTTCCCCCTGCCACACATGTAAATCTACTTTGAGAACTTGTGATTAAGAGTTTCCATTTGCTATCATAATTCATAGGTATAAATTGTGCTTTTTTTTTTCTTTTCTTTTTTTTATTTTTTTGACAGGCAGAGTGGACAGTGAGAGAGAGAGACAGAGAGAAAGGTCTTCCTTTGCCGTTGGTTCACCCTCCAATGGCTGCCGCGGCCGGTGCGCTGCGGCCGGCGCACTGCGCTGATCCGAAGGCAGGAGCCAGGTGCTTCTCCTGGTCTCCCATGGGGTGCAGGGCCCAAGGACTTGGGCCATCCTCCACTGCACTCCCTGGCCACAGCAGAGAGCTGGCCTGGAAGAGGAGCAACCGGAACAGAATCTGGTGCCCCAACTGGGACTAGAACCCGGTGTGCTGGTGCCGCAAGGCGGAAGATTAGCCTAGTGAGCCGCGGCGCCGGCCTAAATTGTGCTTTAACATTTATGAGTCATTTAGAACTTTATGACTCATTGTAGCTTTTTTAATCACAAAAAAGCCACCTTTTTATTTTTAAAGGTAGAATTTTAAAATTATTTATCTATTTGAGAGACAGAGAGGGAGAGAGCTCCCAATCACTGTTTCACTCCCCAAATGGCAGCAACAGCTCTTGGCTCAGACCAAAGCTGGAAACTGGGAACCCAAACCAGGTCTGCCACATGGATGGCAGGAACTCGCTTGCTTGCTTTCTTTCTTTCTTTTTTTTTTTTTTTTGGATTTTATTTATTTGAGAGGTAGAGTTACAGACAGTGAGAGGGAGAGACAGAGAGAAAACTCTTCCTTCCGTTGGTTCACTCCCCAGAGCTGTGCCAATCTGAAGCCAGGAGCCAGGTGATTCTTCCTGGTCTCCCATGCAAGTGCAGGGGCCCAAGGACCTGGGCCATCTTCTACTGCTTTCCCAGGCCACAGCAGAGAGCTGGATTTTGGAAGAGGGGCAGCCGGGACTAGAACTGGCGCCCATATGGGATGCCAGCACCACAGGCAGAGGATTAACCTGCTGCGCCACGGAGCTGGCCCCAGGAACTCACTTTCTTGAGCCATTATGGCTGCCTCCCACAATCTGCATCAGCAGGAAGCTCGAGTCGGGAGTAGGGCCAAGTGTTGAATCCAGGTACTCCAGCACATTACATGGGAACCCCAACCACTGTCCTCTAAAGCCATTATTTGGAATATAGTATTGTTGTTTTTAATTGTTGAGTATAATATGGGAGAATCCATTTGGAAAAGTATTTAAATCTGCTTGCACTGGAAAAAAAATTTTTGTCTTGATTAAAACTACATCTTTATGATTACATATTTAGATAATTTTACGAGGCAAAGTATTGCACAACGAGAAGAAATCAGCATTCTTGGTGCAACTCTCAATGATATGGCTAAAGAAAAGGAATGCCTGCAAGCATGTTTGGATAAAAAATCTGAGAATATTGCATCCCTTGGAGAAAGTTTGGCAATGAAAGTATGTTCTGAGACCTGTGGTTTATAAGAAATGTTTAAGTGAAATATTTAAATGTTTATAAACTGGCCTAAGAGAGCTCAAATCTGAATAAAACAGTAGGATTTTCTCAGTCTTTTTTAGACAGCTGAAAATTTAAAATCTTACTTAAGAGTATTTTAAGGCAGTCTTAGAAATATGTGTCCAAATCCACTAGGCAACATTTTCTGTGATGAATCATTGACTACCATTCACTGATAATTACCAATTCTAATATCAAAATGTAAAGCATGACAATAAAATAGCAAGAGTGATTACTTCTTAAAAACGTTTTCATGTAGTCAACTTGGAAGGCAATATGTTTATTCCATTGAAACTGCCTTTCTGATTGTGTTCAGAACTAGAAACACATTCTACATTATCCTCTGCTTTTGAGAATATATCACATGGATTCTCTTTCTCTCTCCTTCCTTCCTTCCCCTTCCTTCCTTCCTTCCTTCCTTCATTTTCCTTCCTTCCTTCCTTCCTTCCTTCCTCTCTCTCTCTCTCTGTTTCTCCTTCCTTCCTTCCTTCCTTCCTTCCTTCCTTCCTTCCTTCCTTCCTTCCTTCTTTCCTTCCTTCCTTCCTTTCTTCCTCTCTCTTCCTCTCTTTCTCCTTCCTTCCTTCCTTCTTTCCTTCCTTCCTTCCTTCCTTCCTTCCTTCCTTCCTTCCTTCCTCTCTCTCTCTCTCTGTTTCTCCTTCCTTCCTTCCTTCCTTCCTTCCTTCCTTCCTTCCTTCCTTCCTTCCTTCCTTCCTCTCTCTTCCTCTCTTTCTCCTTCCTTCCTTCCTTCCTTCCTTCCTTCCTTCCTCCCTCCCTCCCTCTCTCTCTCTCT